TAATTATAGTTTCATAATATATCATAAATGGAAATAAAATATTTAATAAAGTATCAGGTTTTTGTGTTCTTGGATTGCGAAAATGAACATGTAATTTGGGTCATATTAAAATTTCTACAATACTAATTAAACCATTTTACTCAATAAATGGGATGGAGGTCCTTTTTTAACATTTAAATGGGCATGTTCAAACTTGGTCGATGTATTAATTGGAAAATTAATTATGAAGAATGTATAATTTCTTATCCACCAATTTTAATATTTGAATTGACTCAGAGAGATGGTAATTCATATTATCCATCAAATCAATTAGACTTTCCATTGCATCTTTATTGCAAATCAAGTGAAGAAACTTTGGAATATATGTTGCAGCTTGTGCATTTAGTACCTTACCAGGTGGACATTATTTCTACTGTAAAGTAATACAAAGCTTCAATGATCAAATGGCTGTCTACAGATATAATGATTTGGAGGATGGAGGAATGGTACATTTAGAATCAAAAAATATAACATCTATTGCTGGATGTCAATAACTGTTTTAGTTGCCTATTCATTGAATAATCCCAATTCATTCATCAATTATTTTAATAGTAGAACAAGTAAGTATTAAATGAAAACAAACTATATATTACATTTATACAATCACCAATTTTATAAAAAATTCCTAATGAGAAAATATTTCAGGAATAGATTGTAAGATTATTTACAAAAAAAGTATTAGTTATTCAACAGAGTTAATTTTTTTATTTCTTTTTTTGATGGTTAATTATTTTAGAAACAAAGAACATCAATATTATTATGTTAAAAAGTGAATAATCTTTATTTCTATAATTTTACTTTATCTAACTGAAGTTAACAACAAATATACTTTAATTAGTAGTAATGATTCAACCAAAGAGAAGAAAACAAATATTCAATCAAAAATAAACAAATCTAAGAAATAATTTGTATTTATTTTTACATAAACATCATGCTAAATAAAATTTTAAAAACTAGAGTGACTGCTGAAAACACTGAAGTTTGTTGGAGTAAAAGAATAAAGATAAAGATAAAAAATATACAGAAACAATAATTATCACTTCTGATGATTGTTAATTATTTATTTATTACTATTGTTTATATTTTTTCTTATTAATAAAAATAAAGGAATTTTTACAAGAAGTTTTTTAGTTAAATATTAATTTCCTGTCCTTTTCAATTTTTTACTTGGAAAACTCAAAAAGGACAGGGAACAGTATGCCTTGTCCCACTTCTGCACCACAACTGTCCCAAGGTTTTCCCTGTCCTTTTTCATA